CCTAGCTACCTGCGTCCCGATACTACGTAGTAGTATCGCTTTTTTTAATAGAGCGCCTAACGGGGCCCCCATACCCTTGTGAGCATCTTCATTTGAGAGACCCCCAAAAAGAGTGCTCTCCGAGGCACACACTTAGCGCATGCACAAACGAACTTAACTAGCAAACGAACTTACGGTGCTCGGACCCCGCAAGAAACGAACTTACTGAGAGAAACGAACTTAAGCCTAGAAACGAACTTACAGTGAGAAACGAAACTAACACAAGAAACGAACCTACGATGAGAAACAAACTTACTGCACGAAACGAACTTACTGCATGAAACGAACTTACGGTGAGAAACGAACTTACGGTGAGAAACGAACTTACGCGGAGAAACGAACTTACGCTGAGAAACGAACTTACGCCCAGAAACGAACTTACACCGAGAAACGAACTTACGCCCAGAAACGAACTTACGCCGAGAAACGAACTTACGCCGAGAAACGAACTTACTGACGAAACGAACTTACGCCGAGAAACGAACTTACTGACGAAACGAACTTACGCTGAGAAACGAACTTACTGTAGGAAACGAACTTAACATAGTCCAAGTGAGGAACCAACTTACTTTAGTCTACGCATATACTACAGTAGGTGTGCTCCCCCGACACGAAGAAACGCACTCAACGGAAGAAACGAACTTACTGTAATCCACAGGTATTCAAATATAAGTATGCCCATCCGGTATCCAGAAACGAACTTAACAGAGGAAACGAACTTACTATAGTCTACGCGTATACACATTTGAGTATGCTTGTCCGACGTACAGAAACGAACTTAAGCTACGAAACGAACTTACCATAGTCTAGCCGTATACACGTGTGAGCAAGTGAACTTACTGTAGGAAACAAAACAAAACCGAAGTTACTTACACCAGATCATTCACCCTGAGCAAAAGGTCAAGGCAACAGCAAACCGAACTTACACTCTGAACCTGTCCAGCTGAGAGCAGCTCACGCGTGAGCTGCACCTTATGTAAACAGGCGCCGAAACGAACCTAATGAGGAAACGAACTTACTGTAAAACAAAACAAAACCGAAGTTACTTACACAACATCATATACCCTGAGCAAGCCAACAGCAAATCGAACTCACACTCCGAACCGAACTTACCGCCAAAAGTTCAAAGAATATACACCTGCAGCGCCAATCGCACTTACGATTGACCTCCCACTCACAATCTACGCAGACAAAATGCCGCAACTACGCCCCAAAGCGAACTTACAGTCTCAACCGAACTTACCACCTAGTGCAAGCTACATCCAAAATCAAGCGTTAGTCACAAATGAAAAACCACTTACAGGCGAATACACGCCAAGTCTCACCACCGAACTTACCGTTCGTAACGAACCTACATCAAAATCACCACTTTTGAGCGAGCACAAACCACCCAAGCCAGACACCGCCAGACTTCACACTCTGCACTTGACCAAGAAACACACCCAGAGCACGCTATTGCTATAATTATATCGAGCCCACAAATGCAGCACATTAACATCGCCGTTACATTCCACGCCCACGCTTCACCGAACGGGCTTCATCGTTGTCGTCGACGGGGGAAGGCCTCACCCACTTCTGCCTCAGCCTGAAGGTACGTTTCTCGGAGTCCGTCCATGTCGCCTTTTTCTCGTTGAATTCCTTGACACGTCTTCTGATCTCCAGCTGTTCAATCGGTCAGTCCTAAATAAACGCAACGAAACAGACATCACGTACACTGATCTCCTTCCGCTTTGAGCTTCCTTCCATTCTCTCCTCATCCTGCCCAGTTCCCGTCACGACACCCTGCGCCTCAGTCAATCCCGCACCATTTTCGTACTGAGACGGACGCAGCTGATCGACATCTTCAAACTCCTGCGTCTCAGTCAAGCCAGCACCATCTTCGTACTGAGAAGGACGCAGCTGATCCACATCTTCAAACTCTTCCTCACGCCGAACGTCCTCAGTCCTTTCCACCGCGCAAGTCTTGCCAGCATCCACGTCACCCGATTGAACGTCGTATTGCGACGGCCGCAACTCGTCGAACTCCTCGTCTACCACACCTCCCTGCCCGCTGCTTCCCACCCAGATATCACCCGTTTCATCTACCTCTTTCTCAACCACTTCTCCCGACCCCACCTTTCCGCTACCCGTCTCACTTTCTACATCACCCATCTCTACTACCATATCCGACCGTTCCCCCACCACATACTGACTCGGACCGAGCTGATCGACGTCGTCATCCTCGCTAACGACTTCGACAAGCGGCTGATATTGGCTCGGGTTCAGCTCGTCGATCTCAGTCCCCTCGTCCCCCTTCTTCAACACCTCATCATCTCCCACCGCACCCTCAACAACCTTCCCATCTTCCGACTCAATCCCTTCCTGTTTAGCAACGCCCAACTTCCTCAACCCAGTCTCAAAAACGCCCCTCGCCATTTCATCATGGAACCAATGCGACCACCGCTTCACCGTATACGTCCCGAGCTTGTGGACGTTCTCCAGCTCAGATCCTTCGAATCTTGAAACAGGTTCGACCTCAGGTGGTGGCGTACAACTCGTCAAGTTCGCAGCGTCGGTTCCCAGCCCCAAGTCCGACAGAATACCTAGCAATTTCTGGTGCGCTTTGTCGACCTCAGACCGACCGTCCTCCCTCGCAGCCTCCTTTTGCAGCACCATCTGCGCCTCGCCCACCATATCTTCCATCATCGCCAACACCGGACCCTTGATGGTACCACCGTTCCTTCCACCGAGCTCCCTACTCCGTTCTCGCCGAACCTCTTCCAACAAACCCTCCAGCACACCGCACTCTTCGTTTGCTTTCTGCGCGAAGACCGACAGATTCAGCGGAGCAGTGTTCGAGCCTTCAGCTTCTCCTTCACTCAGAGACAGGTCGATTACTGACAAACGCATGATCCTCAGTCCTCCGAACCGTACAGCAACTAACAATCCCAGGACATGGACCCACCGGTAACGTTTCCTTTGCTCAGCCTCCTCTCCACCTCCCTCCTCTTTAACCTCTTCGCATCTTCACCCTCAGGAGCCGCGGTAAGAACCAACCCATTTCGATCCAGTTCTTCGTCGGACCCACTAGCAAGACCGGTCGTCGAAGATTCCATCCAAAGTCCTGAAAAAGACAACCAGTACGACCGATAGGATCACCAGCACCGCCGGTGACCTATCAGCGTTTCACTCTTCAGCGACCCAGTCCCACAGAGCAAAGAAACCACAGACAAATATTACTCAGAGATATAAGCCAAGGTAAATCGCACAACAGTCTGAACAGAGGTAAGCAGAGCCTCAAACCAAGCAGTTCAGACCCAAGGACGGTGAAAGCGTATAAGTCGCGTCGTGTAGACTCCGGAAACAGCAAGTCGCGTCGTCTGAATTCGGACTCCGCCGCCCTCCGAAACGCTGTGGCGCGCGCGACTTGTCTACGCGCTTCCACTCTCACTATGCGCACCACGCCCGGCCTTCCTCTCTCAACCGCACCACCTCAACACGCTTTCGTGAGCATTCCAAGAGACGTGTTGGGCTACCTGCGGTGCAGGTAGACCCATCGATGCCCATTCTATCGTCTCCACCACCGTTATATGCCACCCACGACAACTCCACCACCGTCATACGCCACCCACGATGACCCGGCAACCGGTACCCACCATCGAACCACCTACTTTGCTCCCTATCGAATCCAAACCACCCAAACTCACCACTCACTGATCAAAACGACGCAAAAATGCTAAGTCCAAAGCCCGAAACGCGCTCTACAAGTGACTTAATCCAAACTCGAAGGCCACACGGCGTTCAAGCCCAACGCGAACCGTGTTTACTTTGGGTAAGTGAACCATCCTCATCACCGTGTCATCGTAAGTCAGCATGCGTCACCATAACACTGAAACCCAGCGTATCCGCAGCGAATCAAACACATCCAGAGCCGTGTCCTCAGCACTAGCCGAGAGCAGCTCACCGGTGAGCTGCTTACGTCACACGATGTGGCCCAAATCCATCAAACTTTGAAATACGCGCTACATCCCCTGAACCGAAATTCACTCGCCGAGCGTAAATTCAGATTCGTTTCCAGTGAGTATCTCCTTTCCCGTCACGAACCGTGAACCCCAAACTCGATGCGTTCCAATCGGCCATACCAACGCCGAACCAAGCTTTTACACCTTCCAGAAAATCTTCCAGGTACCCAAAGTTCAACCCGACCTCGGTTCCGCAACCCGTCCAGGCTCGCCACGGCCTTCAAAATCCGGCTCCATCCCCCGACCTGAATCCAAGACTATATCCACCCAACCCGCAGCTCTTCGTATCGCCAAAGACCCCCATGTCTTCCACTTCTCAATCCAGTCCGACCAAGTCCATCGAAGAAGACACCACGCTCCTCGACCAGTCCCAAGGCAAGTCTATGTCTGAACATCTGGTAAGTCATACAACCAAACGTCTCCTCCCACAACCCACCAACGCTTACTCGTCGTCGTTCACCCCATCAGGACGATGAGTCTCGATTCGAGCACGATTCCGTCAGTAGCTCCTCCCGTCCAACGTCTGTCTCACACACTGACCACGCATAATCATAGGACGGCACCAGCCGCCCACCGTCGCAACAGCACTCGTCCGACGACGAAGAGGAGAACCTCGAGGTAACATTTTTATTATTCCCTGTCTCTCCCGACCTTTTCTAAGCAGCTTAACCGTCGATGAACAGGACTCCGACCCCACGACCGGACCGCAGGCGTCTCAGGCCGACCCGGTACGTATTTGCGCAACCTCCGTACTCACTACACATGCACTCACACCGTCTTCTTTCCCTCTACAGCCTCCCGTCACCCAGAACTCACCTCCTACCAGCGTACGTTCCGTCTCCCTCGACTTCGTCGCCCCAGAACCACGCTAACCTAACCCTCCTACCCTCGCAGCCCAACCCACGCGCGAAGGTCAGACTCCACATCCTCTTCACTTCGCACACCCATTCACTGCCCCACGCGCACTTCAGAAACGACCGCGACATAACAAGGCCCCCTCCACCGACCTAAGCGACCCACAGTCCACGGACGATTCGGTTGTGCCTCGAGTACGTATTCACCTTCCGTAGACAAACCGCCTACTCACCACTTCCCGTCTACAGCCCCTTACACAAGAGGTGAGCTCTCTGTCTCGTCATTCCACTCCATCGCTAACTTCAGCTGCAGCCCTGGGACCGAACGCTCTCACCCGGGCCCAAACACTTCGAATTCACGGCCGCCATGCGGAGACACGCACTACACTGCGACATACCCCTCAGAGCTCCCGACGTTGACCCTCACCTCCGCCGTCTCTACGAAGGTGGTGTCACCGGCTTAGGCTCCATCTCCGCCAACGACCCCTTCCTCAAGGAGGAACTCCATCCCATAGACAAATCCCAGCTCGACCTGGCCAACGCCCTCCACAGCATCTACGTCCACGGTTGGCTAACAAACGTCCGGGAGCCCTCCGAGGCCAAGTTCAAGTTGCACCACCCAGAATCCTGCGCGTACGTGCGCAAGAGTTTCTTCAATCGTATGTACGACAGGGTCAGATGGGGCCTTAAAAACCACGGCCTCGCGCTCGAGTATTACTACACCTACAAGGCCAAGATCCACTACTTGTCGACACAATTCGATCCCCAGCCCCTGCGCACCCCGCTATGGACAGATTGCGACAATCCCCACTGCCAATGCAACGTCGGCGCTCAAGGGAGTCCATGCAATCTCTGTACCGAGCGAGCTCAGCAAGACCGTCGCTTTGAATGAACGTAAGCATCTCACCTGTCCTCCTCAAGCCTGAGCTCACGCCGTTACACAATCCCCAACTCAGACCCAACATCTCCCTCATCGTACCGTATTTCCGTCCTGTCGATACGTAAAAAATGCATCCCCTCTTTTGTCTCGTCTGTTGTGTGGCGCCGTGTGATTCCTCAAGACGTACCATAATTACTCCCCTGCAAGGGGCCACTCGCCTCTACAATCAACAGAACAGAGACACACAACCTCTTCAGCCTCCAACCCATCCATTGGAGACGAAGCGCCGAGAGCCACAGAGAAAACGTCACGCGTGCCACACAGCCCGAATTGGTAATCCGGCCGACCGGCCCGCCATTCAACCTCTGTCTTCGTCGCCTCAGCCCTTCTCCTCCCTTCGTCTTCTCCCCTTCGTGCTCTGTCCCTTCCCTTCACCACCCCGTCTTCCAATCCAAATCACCTCAACATCCAAACCACGGCTGCGTGCGGTGCACGTAGACCCCACACTCGATTCGTCCCTCACCTCCAACTCACCTCTCCTTCCACTCGCCTCCCCTTCAACTCCCCTCTACCCCCTCACCCGCCCCAGCCAAACAGTCCCAAAACGTCTAAGTCCAAAGTCCAAACCATCGCACCCGCCATCACAGAACCGGAGCGCAAAAAAACTAAGTCCAAAGTCCGTATCCTCGCATGACGCACGTGGAACCGCCAGAGCTGGCACCGCCGAGAAAGCGAAGGGTAGCATAGCGAACGCAACCGACCCCACTCAGTACGTATCTCTACCAAGCGTCGATGTACACGAAGCCTTCCGCACACTCACGCAATCCAAATCAACAGGGACCGTTCTACGAGCCCTTAGGGTGGACACGTAGGCAGCTCACGCGTGAGCTGCCCACGCCACACATGTGAGAGTGGCCCAAATGATTGGGCCATCTCGACAGTAGCACACTTCCAGCGTAGACCCATGTACCGTCGTGAACGCATCCGTTCTTTTAGCCCTTAATATAAACATCGTCTCAGACTTACAGCAGAGTGAGGAAGACGGTACGGTACGCCTCTCGCGGATCCCGAATTCACGCCCACGTCGACCTCGTCACCCTCATCCCGTATGCGGTAAGTCAAACAACGCGTCGCCTCCGGCCACGAATGTAGCTCATGCACCACACAGGCTCTCGTGCAACTATTGTTGAACCATTTCGAAAAGGCAAAACCGGTGTTTCGGATCCAGAGAACACCGAGTTATGAGACTGGCGAACCGCTCTGTACACGCAGCGCGTCAAGTCTGCTGCGCGGATAGGAAAGTCAAATAAGATGAAACGACGCACGCAAGGGCCCCGCGTGAGACCGTTCAACCCAAGATTGAGTGTCCAGATCCCAGACGACCACAGGAACATTGATTGCGTACGATTAGCATTTAGGCTTTCGAGATCGCCCAGGAAAGGCCCACATCACCTCACCCACAATGCCACAACGGTTTACGACCGAGTCCCACGGGCCACATCGAAAGAGCAACAAGAAATCATAGCATTCATCACGCAGAAGGTCACTACATCGGAGGAGGTAGAGACCAAGAAATCGTATACAACGTCGTCCTCGAACACACCCGAGGTTGGTCGCTTGCCAACCCTTCCACGAACCGCTAATTCAACTTCGCCTTCTTCCTGAGGCCCCCGCCCACCCGAGTGACGTGCTCCAGCTTCCTCTTCATGTCGCTCCCTGTCCTCGCGTTGGCCCTGCAAAGTTGATTCTGCAAAACAAGGTCAGCCGTCACCCACACCACCCGAGGACGAAACGCTTACCAATGCCTCCCCTTCCGAACTCGTTCCTTCCTCGTCCTCCTCCTCCTTATCTTCTGCGACCGTCCAACCTTCCTTCTCGACCACCGCCAATCCCACCTCCATCTTGGCCGCGGATTGAGACGCAGTCAGGACCTCATCTATGTCGTCATCGAACAGACAAGCGGGGTCCATCGCGCGTTCCTCCAAACGCGGAGGCCGAGTCTTCACTCCCGCACCTTTCGTCCCCTCCTTCACCTCCACCCCTCGATCTTCCTCGCTCTCGCCCTCCGCATCTTTTCCGACGACCGCGTCCGACGACTGCTCAGCCCCTCCCGCCGCGTCCAACTGTCTCGCACGCTCCTCCTCCTCCAACATCTCCCTCCCTCGGCTCGCCCACAACGACGTCGCACGCATGAGCCTCTCCTTTGGCTCTCCCTCCCGGAACCAGTGCATCCAACGCCTCTCGACGTAGACCGATATGGCCATCAGGAGCTGCCCGTCGCTGAGCTCCCTCCTCACGAGGGCCTCCAGCTCCTCAGGCGGCGCGGACGTCCCCTTTTCATCCCTGACGTGCCTCTTCGGGTCGAGATCGTCCAGCATCTTGTCGGTCAAATGCCCGACCTTCATCTCCTCCATCATCTTAATCGCGTCCTCGCGAGAGAAAGGTAGGCCCGTACGCTCCTGCTCATCCCTCGCCATCACCGTCAGCGTCTTCATGGCTTCCCTGGCGATCCCAACGCAGGCCAGGAAGACCTTGCTGACCTTACCATCGCCCCCGCCCTTCGCCTCCCACTTCTGTTTGAGCTCCTTCGTCATCTCCACCAGGTCTTCCGCCTCCTGCACGGCAGACCACATCTCGTCTCTCGCCTTTTCGACTTCGGTCGCTTTCGCCTTGGCCGCACTGACGGACGTTTTCTTCTCAGCGGCTTTCGCGCCCGCTTTTTCGACTTCATTCGCTTTCGCCTTGGCCGCACCAACGGGCGTTTTCTTCACAACGGCTTTCTTGCCCTCATCGTCGGAGGAGGGGACATTCGTCAGGTCGATGGCTAACTCGCCCCGACGTCAGTCACGAATCAGACAAAGACGGGGCCTTGCCGAATCCACTCACTTTCGACCGGTACTGATCCCTTCGGTTTCTCCTCCTTTCCCTCCGCCTCCTTTCCCTTCCCTTTCCCACTCGCGTTCTTCACCGCTTCCCTCACGGCATCCGACACCTTTTTCTTGCCCTTGTTTCCGGCGTCCTTCGCAGCCTTCTCCTTTTTCTTCTTCTCCTTCTCGGCGGCGTCGGCCTTCAATTTTATCCTTCGACGCGCCTCTTCCAAGTACGTTTTCGCACCGGCGTCCACTTCCTCTTGTGTGAGTTTGGAACTCATCTACCACACCCATCAACAACGTTTCCACATGAACAAGACTCCAGGAGGAACACCTGCACCGCAAGTGACCTCCCTCGTCGTCCTCCACCAAGGCCAGGAACTCACCGATAACGAGCAGGGAACACCGTCAAGCAGCAAAAGGGATCGAACCCGACAAGCAAAGACAACCAGAGAACAAGACACGATGAGATCGAGGCGAAACCGCAGACGAAGAGAGCCCAAGACACAGCACGAAGTCGAGATTCAGCTGGACGCGGTGAAGTCGTGTGAGCGAGAACGTATAAGCAGAGAGCGTCTAACTCAGGCACTTCCGCGTCGACCGGATAGTTCCGGCCCCGGCCTGTGGTGCGCACCTCGCGCCTTTGGCGCCGTTCCTCTCTCCGCTCTCCTCCTCCTCTCTTGTCCGCTCGCGTTCAGATGTGGCAGCGGGCGGTGCCCGTTGGCCAACATATCGCACCTCACTCACATCCACCCCTCCGTCGTCGACAAGTGGACCTTCTGGTTCGTACCAAACTCAACGGTGGCAGGCGCAACGTCGTCCTCTGTCGTCAAACGCCGATTTGTCACCCTTGCCTACCCAATCTCCTCGCTCGTTCTACCAAGGAACAAATCGACAGTTTGGCGAGATCCCCGATGCCGCAACCTCTTCCATTTCGTTCATTTCCGCCTTTACCAACGCCCTCCTTTTTCCCTTTCTCTCCTCTCTCTCTCTCTTCTTT